CCAATTAAAGGTATTTCAATTTCAGTCATTCAACAAACATTTTCTGAGTGCTTATTGTTAAGCGTGGTTAAATATACTAGGGATACCACATTAAAGAAAATTAGCAAAATTTCTCCCACTAAGCCCTCATATTTCACTAAGTTAGTGTGCTTCTCTGGTTCTACCTTCTCATTCCTTTTTTCCCCCCAAAATAGCATTTGGATTCAGGAGAAAGCTTAAGTAATGTCATGACGACATTGGTCCCTGTGGGGTATTTCTTACCAATTGATTGGATGTTAACTTCTATCCCCCCAGGAATTGCTGCGGAGTAGCATGTTTCCTATGGTCACTGTCACAGAGGGCCTGGATCTCCATTCTCCCTGACCCTTGTTATCTAGCTGATGTACTAGGACCCTCTGCTGAATTATATAATCCCCCTGACCCCCATTGAGCTATCAATTGTAATGTCCTTGCTCTAAAATCAAAAGTCTTCTTATTTACCTCTTGTCTATTTTGGGGACTATAAATTTCAGCTGCTTTTTCTGATCTTCATTGCAGCATGAGAGAACCCTTGTGAGATTGCTAACAGGTTCAAACACCTGGATACCTCCTTTGTTATTGCCATTCTGTTTCACCCATGGCAAGTTTGATGATGCATCTCTATCCCCTTGCAAAAGCCAGAGATTTTGAACTAAGCCAGGACAATGAAGTCTAAACTCTAAAACCACATTTTCTTTTTCTTCCCAGACTCCTTCCTCAGTCCTAGGAAAGGTTTCTCCTCTTTTGTATGTGGTCCAATGGGAGTCCCAAGACAATCTTCACTCTGAATAAAGAGTGGATTGTTGCCAATAAAAAAATGCTTGATTTTAGTCTATTATGTGGCTAGGGACATTAAGACCACTTCACAATTCAATGCTGGACAGTGACTTCCTTGATTAGTGCTTTTAGGGATTAAGGTATTGGCTGTTCTTTTTTGAAATTATGCCTTTATCTCATGCTGAATGGTGGAAAGGTTGAAGGGTTTTGGGGAAAAGTACATAGCTGTCTGAGAAGTAATATTTCAAAATAACCCATTTCACTATATATGAACAATGTTGGGGAAAGCAAAAATTACATGAAAAAGTAAAATGTTAAAACACACAAGCACAGATATGTGTATCTTCTTGGACTCATACCTAAGCATTCTATTAATAAAAGCAATGAATCTCCATCTCAATATGTAAAGTGATATTGTAGAGTCAGTAGCAAAAAATTATAGAATTAAAATTGACCTTAAAGTCCCTTACATGTATTAATATATTAAACAACATGCATATGATTTTGTGTATGCTGCCCTGAATGGCAATATTTGTGAATAAATGTACAGTGTTTATATAATAAATTATATATGGAAAATACAATCTTAGAGTTTTTGTCTTTATATAAGAGAAACTATGCATAGCTAAATTTTGGAAGTCAATTGTATATGTGTTGGTACTGCATAATGCATCCTAACATGTCTGTATAAGACATTACTTCTATTGCCTTCTCCTACACCTCCTTTCTTTTTATTTTTTTTCTGTTTCCTTTGCGTGATTCAATGTATTGAAATTTACTTATTTTTAAATGTTAAGATTCTTAAAACTTACCCCGTTTTCCTCTCAGGATGTTACAGAAAACAAAATTAAAACTGCTGTCTTTTACTTACTCTGTAGCCAAAAGACTAGAATTATATACAGTCTATGAATAATTGCCTGTAATTTCTTTATTATCTTCTATTCTCTCAACTTCTTATTTAAAGGGTTAATTAAATGATCCTCCAGAGAATGTTTCTTACCTTTCCCTTTAAGTTATATTTAAAAACAAAACAAAAACAAAAACTTCCATAAACCTAACAAAAGTGATTATTCAAGGTATAAAATTTCTTAAAATATATATACTTATGATTTCATATTCCCTCCCTTGCACCCAGAGCCAATACTTAATTTATGCATTCATGCTCCTTAGCTTTGTTGTGATGAATAGGGTAAGCGTTGAAGATAGAGAATTGAAAACATTCTGAAATAGAAGATGGAATCATTCTCTACAAGAATCATTCTATGAAAAACACACAGTGAAAAACAAACAAACAAACAAACTCTTGAAGGCTGCAGAGAGGCAGAGAAGGAAATACTAGTAGATAAGGAAAGAGTAACATTTAGGTGAACAGAGTTTTTGGGAGTTTAGAATTAAATATGAGAAGCTACTGCCAAAAATGAAACTTTGGAGAGGGGAAAAAGCTTAAACAGAAATTTTAGAAAGACTACATGGATTTAATGATGGCACATGGCTCACGACTGCTGTTACAATGTTTTTTATTATTTGCTGATGCTTTTAAACTGTTGTGGCTTTTGGACATGAGGTTATGCTTAGACTAACCCTGTGCATTCTAATCACAGAAGGAGGAGAAGGAAAAGGAGAGGGAAAAGGGAGGAGAAAACATTAAAATGGGATGGGGAGGACGAGGAAGTAGCAGCAGTACCTAAAACCAAGCCTATTCCATAATTTAGTTTCAAAGAACTGCTCTTTATATTATCTCATTTAATGAGAAAACATAATTAAAGATCATGCCAAGTAAGCAAAATTGTACAACGGTTATTTTAAAATGTCATATGACTTTCCTTAATCAATTTCCCCTTTATGCTGTGTTTCTAAATATCCTGAATCCTCTTCTATAAAGCGTTTGAGAAAATTTTAAACAGTTTTTAAGGTTTTTCATTAATGTTTTGGGGACTTCGGTGTTTACCATTTGACCCACAACTTTTTGAAAAGGACTTTCAGGTCACGTGTGTGTATGTGTGTGTGTGTGTGTGTGTGTGTGTGTGTGTGTATGTGTGTGTGTGTGTGTGTGTTCACCACCTTTGAATGAAACCTCTTTTTAATCCTTGCTGAGCATACACTTTTCTTCTCTCATGCCTTTTCTCTCTTTCTTATCCATGCTTCTCTCTTCTTTTTCCCCTATATTTTAAATTCAGGTCTTTTAAAAAAATTCTTAGTGAAGCAATTAAAAGAAAATAATTATTTTTTATCACGGCTGCCCTTCATTTTGATTAAAGCAGTAATATTTTGTTTTATTATCAAATTCAATAAAATATATTCACCATTTTCAAAGTCATAAAATTCATCCCAAGTATTTAGATAAATCAAATTAAAATTTTTAAGCTTACGTAATTCCCCAAAAGAGAGCTAATGTCTGAGATAAAAGAAACAATATCTACACTATGTGTATATTTTCTTAAAGTGACTACTTTAAAAGGAAGACAAATATTTAAATGTATCTTTTATGAACTATTTATATATGGATTGCATTAATCACTTGTGTTTCAACTGGGCACATTTTGCATAATCTTTCCATATTTTAACTTGTTACATATTTTCTTTATGATATTTTAAATAGCAGTTTATAGTTTGATACACACTTTCTCATTATCACTATGACCATTCTTTATTTTTTTTGTTCCCCTGAAAAAAGTTACAGCATCTCATTCTTTGATCTATCTTGCAATTAAATAGGCCATGATAGTTAATGGAATTCATCTAACTCATATGACAAGTATATTTTCAAGAAGTTAAAACATAAAGATCTTTATTATGATTACTTTTTTTTACTTTGTAGAAAAAACGACAAATAAAATATTACTCATTTCAAATATCCAATTCAGTAATTTTAAAAATGAATCTTCTTTTTCATAAATTAAAAACAATATATTGACTCCCCTGTTCATTTTGACTCAAAATTTGAAAATCACTGGCATTTGACTATAATAATAATTTAAAATTTAACAAGCTGATTCCTGCCCAGAAAATGCTTATTCTAATGCAGAATGCTTGTCTCCTTTAGGTACACCTTGGATGATTTGGACTCTGAAAATCCAAGTTACACCCAAGATTCCATTCTCCTGTGGTTACTCATCTGGACCACAGACACGTAGGACCTGTCCGTAAAAGACATAGGGATCAAGTGGAACTCAGTGAATCATGTGACATCCCTTATAGACAGTGAATCATCCCTTTAATGCAGTGAAACCTTGGAGGGAAGAGCAAGGAGGATGTACTGGTTGTCAGGAAAATGTAGGCTACTAGTAGAAAATGACAGCTCTATTAGTAAGGTCTAAGGTGCGACTCACATAATTGTCCTAATTTTTAAGATTGATGGGGCACATGAAGCATTTCTTTAAGTTGGTGACAGGTCCCAATAAATGCCAAAAGTGTATAGGACTGCATATGGTTTTAGAACATGGTTTTTATAAAGAAGGTGGAGATCCCAACTCCCTCTATCATCTCTATATATATGTGTCTGAGTGTGTACTTTAGTGCTTTCTGGGAATTGTCTTGCCAGAGAACCTGAGCTGGACAAAGCAGCCTCGATCTGAGTGAACTAACTGGCACCATGAAACTATCAGGTGTCTTTCTGCTCCTCTCTCTGGCTCTTTTCTGCTTTTTCTCAGGTGAGTTTTTTCTTAAAATTAAGATCCCATATATATACTGAATGGGAGATGACAAGAGTAGTTGTCCATCATATTTCAAAGTTCTAACAATTTTGATATAAAAGGCCAATTCTAGGAGATCATCATAAGGATGATAATGATTGTGGTGATGAAAATGATGTTGATAATAATGATAAAAATAGCTGTTATTTGTTGAGTATATACTATATTCTAGGCATATACTAAGAAGGGCTTTTATGCATCATCTTCAATACTCAAAGTATTTGTATCCCTATTCTACATCTAAGAAACGGTGACACAGAGAAGTTAAGAAAATTGCCAAAGAACTTGCAACTAGTAAGTATAATAGAATTTGGAATTTGAATCCAGATTTTCTAGACATCACAGTTGATGTTTGTTCCACAGAGGATGGATAATTGCATTAAACATTGGTTTTGCTTTCTAAGACAAAGGAATGCTTTCCTATCCTTAGTTATTATTACAAAGGGACTCAAATAACTGAAATTAAAACAAGGGGAAAAATGGAAACTCAATGAGGAAATCCTTAAAAGGATGTTATTAAATCTTAGAATGCAGAAACATATATGTTCCTGGTGAACTAAATAACCTTCAAGCAGGGGAATATCTTTGGCCACTTTAATGAGGTTCAAAGGACAATCATACTTCAAGGTTATGATTTTTATTACAGGTCATTGAATGAATAGGGCCATTATATTTATCTTCCCTTCCTTATTATTCTACTCTATCAGGGTATAGTAGACAAACCATACACTAGAGCCCAAGATCCAGTTCCCTCTCTTTCACTACTGACCTGTGTCAACTGGAGAAACATCTCAATTCTCTGAGATATTTTCTCATTTGTAAAATGCTAAAAATGAGACTAAGCCCTGAGAATTTCCATGTCTGATCTATCATTTTCTGTGACAATAGCAGATAAATTTTGCTTCTACCAAAGATTTTAAATGACTGAAATACACCTGTAAAAACAAATTTTCAAAGAGATTTAGCGATGAAGAAGCCATTGTTCACTGCAGTTAGTCAAAAACAAATACACTCAGAAATATGAAAAATAATGGATAAAAGATTCCTATGATATTCTGAAGTCAACTTGACTACTAAAGCCAAATAACCTTCATGGGTATTTCGATCACTAGCTAAGATGTCAGAAAAAAGTAGATCTGACTATGTTAAAATTTAGTTGCAAAGATAGTCTCAGAAATCAGTTGCTATCCTCTGTCACTTCTCTTTACAAAGTTGAACTGAGCTTTAACAGGAGCTGGTTCACTAGTACATTTAACATACCAAAGCACAGGTTCTTCACAGACACACCAGACAGTATTTGGGATGACACAGTATGTAAGGGTTTTCATGTTGAAACAGACAAAAGTGAATTTCAGTCCTGACATTTTCATTCTATAGCTATGTGACCTTATTGAGCCTTATTTTTCTCAAATTAACATAGGAATATAGAAGGACTATCTCTACTTGAGAAATTAAATGATAAAAATGCATATAAGATGCTTAACAGAGTAGATGAGGCATAGCAAGTGTTTAACAATAACATCTGTTAATATTATTATAGCCATTATTAAAATTTAATAAAAAGAGTACTAGATTGAACTCAAGGTATTGATCTGTTTCTGCCTTGCCAGTTCCTACCTATAAGACATTCGGCAAATCCTTCTTCTTCTGATTACGGTAAAGAACTGACTGAAAACGCAACAGTTAATTTTCCCCGGCCATAAAAAATCACTGAGAATATTTATAAAATTACAAACTCCCCAGGCCCTATCTGGTCTTATATAATGGAATTTTTACGTGATAGCTAGTTATGAATCAATGAGGTTGGTAATCACTGCTGAAAATGATCAGTAACATACTTTCAAATTTAAAAAAGACTTGTTCTCTCCTCACCCCCATTAAAAGAGCTTCCACTCCGAGGAATTTTCAATGGTCCCCGCGTAAGTGCTGGCTGGTGTTGGAGACGGATTGCACTAATTCACACTCTCTCTCGCTGAGGTGGCCTTGGGCTTCCATGTGAGGGGTGTTGTGAAAGGAGTTCCACAGAAATGACCACAGATCAAAACTTAGCAGCCCCTACCAGAACTGGACCTAGGATTTTTATTATTTCAGTATTTAAACCACTCAGCTAATTAGTCACAATCTAAAATCACACATACAAATATTAAGAGGGAGGAAGAGTGAGAGAAACAAGACTATATATATGGGCTCTTTTTCAGGAATTTAGAGATATGCAGAAGGAGAAAAGAGTTGCAGAAAAGAGAATGGGTTGGTCCTTACCAGTCTATATTTGGGCCAAGTCTTAAAAGTTGGGCAGTTTCCAATGCAAAGAACAAATGACAAACTTAATCCCTCTCCCAGTTGCCCGTAACAAAGGCTTTTGGGAGGAACTACATGGAATGAACCTTGGAGTGTCAATGTCAGAGACGCCTTTCCAGTCCTACTTCTCCAAGGTCAAACCAGAGATGGTAAGGCCGTTCCCACAGTAAATTAGTGACTCGGCCGGGACTGTAGCATAAATCTCCAGATCCTTATGCCGTTTTCTGCTCCCCACCTGAACCTCCAACGAATGTTGCCCCCTCATGGTCCATGTCCTTACATCACCTCTCTAAGATGTGAGGAGGTGTGAAATGTAAAAAATGAAACAACATGCCCGTGGCTTCTTGAGATGGCTAAGAACCAGGAACTGGAATTAGGGATTTCCTAATTTTGTAAATATTACTGTTTGCACATTCATAAATTACAGTGTTTGGATTCTGTGCTTTTTTTTTTCAGGTGTCTTCGGTCAAGGAGGACAGGTCAGTGTCTATTTTATCTATTCTTTCAACCTGGGGGGGTGCCTGGCTAGGACTTCATTGGCTAAAACAAGGTTTTTCTATGGGAAATAGAGCAAAAACAATGAACAGATAGACCAAATGCAGAAATCAGCAGAAACTACTGTTTTTTAACTATAATCTTTCTGTGAGTATGCCATTTTCAGTTTAAAAGAGCCTACACATACATTCTCACATTTTTGTTAAAGTAGAGTAAATATAAATAAAAATAGGATGGATCGGAGATAAAATTCATAATCTATCACTGATTTCATTGTATGATCTTAGGCAAGTTAGCTTTTCTGAGCTGCAATTTCCATAACTATAGAAAAGGGATAACATTACTTCATAGAATTTCAATTATATTTAAAAGGCATAAAACATGTGAAAGCATTTAGCAAACTATAAAAGGTTATATACGAATTAGTTATTGATTGGTAATTAACAGTTTCTGAAGGAATTAAGACAGAGGTTATTATATCTTTTTCAGAAATAACCGAAAGTATACAGGAAACTAGCTTAATGTTCTGTATTGAGAATACACAGATTGGTTCACTCAAACTTAAATACAATTTGGGGTTAAAAATTGGAATGGGCACAAATTATCTTCATTGTTGGATTTTTTCCCCAAATTAATTCAGCAATTTCTATTTTTCTTGTTTTAACTATCAAATGACAATACGAGTGTTCTTTGTTCTGCCAGTCCTGCTCCTGTGTCCACATTAGACGTTTCTATGTAGTCTTGGCACTAGTTCTTGTGTAGCCTTGGTGTGTCTTGGTATACCCTTGACATAAAAATTTCCAGACACCACTGCCAACTGATAAAGAAGTTGAGAAGTATTTTTCAATGCTGATATATCCATCGTATTATATAAGACCTTTTCTTCCCAGCTTCAGCATCTCAGGAATGAGGATGCATCTTACAATTGGTGATACTTTAAAATTAACTGCCTGTGTGTGTGTACTGTGTATATATCTAACATATGCACACATGTATGTTGATATTGTCTTATAAAATTGTATTTCTTAAAATTGACTAATGTTTAAGTAAGTATGATAGCATAGTCTATACCTGCAGTCCCCAACTCCCGGGCTGTGGTGTGGCACCGGTCTGTGGCCTGTTAGGTAGCTCTACCTACCCCCTCACTCCCATGTATCCCCCCACCCCACCCACCCTCATCTGTGGAAAATTTGTCTTGCATGAAACCAGTCCCTGGTGCCAAAAATGTTGGGGACCGCTGATCTATACTAAACATAAAAATAAACACATCAGGAAAGGACGTAAGATGCAGCCACATTTCGTATCCCATTAGCTAGTAAAATATGGTGACAAGACCATTACACATGGATTTAATAGATAAGGACCTTTATATCAGTTTTCTCGTTAACACACAAGTCACTTCCCTTCTTTGGGCCTTGATTTCTTTAGTGTTTTCTAAAGTTCATTTAAAATCTACTATTTACTGATTCTATTCCTTCAGATAGGCAAAAGTCTTATAGTCTGCTTGCTTCAGGGTCACTTGGGAAGCTTACTAGATATACAGATTCCCAGGCACCATGCAAGGCATTGAATAATAATCACTGGGGAAGGGGATTTTGAATCTGCATTCTAAATAATTATCCAGATGACACTTATACACAATAAAATCTGAACAATTTTCTCTAGATAAGGGGAAGGAAGTTGTATTGAGAAGCAGTGGATTTGGAGGCAGACAATATAGACGAGTCCTAATTCAAATACTTACTTGTTGTGTGACTTGGGAAATGTCTCTTCCCTTCTCATTGCCTTTGTTTTCATATCTCTAAGATGAAGATTTGGATCCAGGGATCTCTAAAACCCCTTTCTGCCCTAAATGTCTGAATCATTATGAACAACGTCCGCCCGGCCAAAGCTGCTGTCTCTTCTCCACTCAAATCTAAAGGACAGGGAGGGCACCACCCTTTCAGATGGCACTGAGGCTTCCATTTATTTCTCTTCTGCATGGCTGGAGGAAGGGTGGAAGTTTCAATGCCAGACAGAAGATGTTAAAACTAACATTAGGAGCATGCCCGTTCAAGTCTGATCCAGCCAAGACAAAAGGAAGTAAGATTTCCCTAGCACTCAAGTCATTCTTCTCATGCCAAGAATTCTCTCCATGATAAAACATCTGATGGAAGATTACAGGTTGCATTCTAAATTACAGACTTTTAGAAATATCACCTTCTTTTGAAAAGATTATTCAAGCTAAACAAAAAGCATGTTCCCAGACTTTTGGAATTCATGGCCCAGTGAAATTTTCCTTGTAAATGTAAGTGACTAATAGGCTATTGGCTCTTTAGTTTACCAAGGAAGTACATTAATTAACATTATATTATAATAACAATAATTGTAAAATAAAACTACTATTTACCATCACTAGTGTTTCATTAAATAAATTGTGGTATATCACCAGAATGTTTAAGACATATTCTCAGAATAAGAATAGTCCTTTGAACTGAATTAAATTTGCTTTTTGAATCACTCATTATATAGCCTTTGATGTTTTTTATTTTCCTACCAGGCTCTGTATTTGGGAACCCTATCCACAAATTGTTGTTTAGATGCATAGTCTGGATTGGAATTAACAGAACAAGCCTCTCAAAAACAATGATTGGCAATCATTTTCTGTACATTACTTTTTTGGGATAGCTAAGTTTATTTTTGTTTGTATTTTAAGGTAAAGATTGGTGAATTTTAATACGATTGGTTAAAACAACTCTTCATGACTAGAATGAGTTTGGAATTCTTCATTTTTCCTAATTAGTTTGATTTTACTTAAAATTAATATACTGACAGCATATCTAAATACAGTTTAGCGATGTTACCCAGCATCTACAACTTAACTACAAATCAGAAAACTGAAGTCTCAGAAAGAGGACCTGGAAGGCTTGAGTCTACCAGCAGCCACAAAGCTGTGGAGTCAACATCTCAGGACTCCTGACTCTATATTGAATGAGCTCCCCATGGCTCCGCACTACCTTTAATCAGCAACAGAAAGCCACTGTGCGGTGCACGTGAAAGAGCTTTGAGGAAAATAATTTTCTAAACAAATATAAGATAATGATTACCATCCTCACTTCTTAAGCAAAGAATATGATGAAAACGGTAGTTTAAAATAAGATGACTTGTCTCTCCATGCAGGAAAAATTTGAAACTAGGAGGGAAAGGAAGCAGAGAGAGCAGAACTTACTGTCCTGGTTCAGACAAGAAATGTGGAGGGCTGATGTAGGTAGTACATTTGGAATTGGCGAAAAAGACTTGAGGTAAAGAAACACACAAAAGGCAACACGAGGAGAAAGAAATGGCAATGTTTCAATCTGAGGGCATATTGGGGAATCTGAAGAATGGTTCTAACATGAAAAAAAATTTGAATGCCAAAACAGTTTGGAAGGAAAGATAGTTATATTTTGAGCATAAATGAGTCAAGTATGAATCAAATTATTGATCAAAGGTGTCTTGTACACTTCTGACAATTGAGAATTAGAGTTTGAGATATTGTTGAAAACTCAAGGAAAAAAATCTAGGATTTATCAGTACCAACTGGGAAAAGATCTGTTCTTAGAGAGAGAAAATCAAGTATACAAAACTATCCTGAAAATGACCATAATAGTCGGGAGGAAATAAGAAAAGACAGCAAAAGAAGAACTGACATATTACAAAAGTTTGGACAGGAGTTTCGAAAACGCTGGAGTGATCAACAGTAGCTCATATCGTAAGGAAATCATGAAAGTTTTATAAATAGCCAATGAGCATATCCTGAAAGGCATCATTTTTGAGAGTAATTTCAGTGTAGTAGAAAGGGCAAAAAAGCTGGGGGAGGAGAAGTCAAGGTGGGAAGGTTTAAGAAACTGGTATGGTAAAGAATGGAGATGATTTAGCCACATAGGTGCGTCTTTCAGTAAAGGGAAGAAACGATGTCATCCTACACCCCAAGTCCGTGTGTGTGTGTGTGTGTGTGTGTATGTGAGAGAGAGAGAGAGCGCGCGAGCGAGAGTGCTTGTGCAAATTATCACTGGCTTTAATTGTAAAGCTAAAATATTAATAATCGTGAACATTTAGTTGAGTTAATGACAATATAAGCTCAATTTTCCAAGTAAATTACATGATTTTGTTGTCACCATTAGCAAACATGACCAATCTGGGTACTAAAAATGTCACGCCCTTCCAAAATATTCTAGAAGGCGCTGTTCCTTTAAGAACCACAAGGGGTCAGGCTGATACAGAACACTGGCACCCAGGCGCCTGGAAGGAGTTTCTGGAAACTGGAATATCTAGGGAGATAAATGGAATTTCTTGTGAAATCCAACACCCAACATCAATCTAAATAACATAAAAAAAAAGAAAAAATAAATAAATCTCGCCAAAATAGAGTCAGAAATAATGGGATTCAAAAATTCTAGAATGTGATATAATTTACATTGCAAGGGTTTATAATAGAAATATTCCACATGGTTCTTGATTGACAAAGTGTTTTCATGGGATTGATCATTACAATAGCCCTAGAAGATAGGCATTATCAACTCCCTGTTAAACACGAAGAAAATGAAACTTACAGCAATGAAGTGTTTGCATAATGCAATGCAGCTCATCAGAGAAAGAAGCAAAATTCAAACGCAGGTCAGTCTAATTCTATCTACAGGATATCCCTCCAACTTTAGAGCAACATTGGGGCATTTCAATCGGATTCAGAGGGATTTCAGTTCTCGGGTTGGCTAAATGCCTCATGGAGAAACTTCAAAGGAGAAAAGTTAATCCTTCATTCACTCTCAGTCTAGACTTGTTTTGACATCTACTGAGAAGCCAATTGTTCGGATTCTATTTAAAGGAATCGAAAACAAGAATATAAAAGATAAGAGGAAATTCAGGCAGAGGAAAGGCATGACATCCAGAAATACTGGTCTGTCTTCCGCAAGTTGTGAGAGTGTGGTCTCTTACTAGTCCCAACTCTGACATTCCCTTGCCTCACTCTTTGCCCTACAGAGGGATTGCCGGGTGACTGTGCAGAGGCATTCTGCACCTTCCCAGCCCCCGGGGCCCACAGAGAGTGGCCCTCTTCTGTCCCCAGCCACCACGCTAAAATTTCTCACACAGTCAGTGAAGAGGGCTCTCTAGATGTAAAGGAAAAAATATTTGGCCAAAAGTTGCTATTTCTCCTACCCAAGCAAAGATCAAGACGTAAGAGCTTTATTTAAGCCCCTTCACTGAAAGTAGACACTGCTAAGTCTTACACCATGAAAGGTGGAAGGGCTTTTAGAGGTAATCTGGCCTCATGGTGTTGACCACTTAATATGAGTTACACACAGCTTTTAGAGCTACAGTTAGGACAGACCTGCCACTTTCTGCACTCCTAATACAGAACTATTTCAAACATTCCACACTGACTCTCTGTGATTTTTGTATGACCACATTTGACCCTTCTAACAACCTTGGGAATCTGGGAATGAGGCTTGGCATGTAGTTTTGTTTGTCTGGTTTTTGGTTAAGAAGATTGAAGTGCAGGTATTGAGTGCTTTGTCTAAGATAACACAACTAGTCAATGGTGGAACAATTTCTATAAAGTGATTCTCAGCTGACTTCAGAGATCATTGAAGGCCTCTACAATTTAGAAGTATGAAATGCATCTGTTCTAAGGAAGTTTGTTCAGATGCCAGTTGATTGATTGGTTTGGTTTTATTTATTGAAATCCTTTGCTCTTCCTAGTCTCTTTCCAGGGGACAGGGAAAGGGGGTAAGTGAGTTTGGGGAGGGGGCTGACACCTAGAATTCTCAAAGTAAATGCCTTCCCCAAGTGCCACTTCCATATCTACTTTCTAAGGACAAAAGAGGCTGCATCACAAGATCAGAGGGCCAATTGCCAGGGAAAGGTGTCTTAAGGAAGCATCTCTTTCAAGTAAGAGACTTTCTTGTTACTTTTCTCTGTTCTTTTCTTCCTGTCTCCAGAGACACACATCTCTTTGATTGAAATGCCATTTGCTCAGCTTCTACATTGCCTGTGCTTGCCTACTGTGATTTCCATCACACATCATGCTGTGATTATCTGTGTTCTTCTCTGCTTCCCTAAGGTGGATAAGACGCTGAGCTTATTGAGACGGAGTTCCTAATGGATTCCTCTTTGTATGACTAGTAGCCAGTACTATGTCTTCCAGGTATTAGTTACCCATTAGGTATTTGTGAAATAAAAGAAGTATCAATGCTATCGTGGCTCACGGTTCTTTCTTGACTCAAGCACATCTTTGTAAACATGTACAATAATGACTTAAATATATACATTACGTTAGATTTTGAGAAAAAAGTGCCCTACAGCTTATAATGTCTTCAAGAGTTTGCAAACTTTTTTCCAATTTGGAAATCTAAAGGAAAAAGTACTATTCTGAAAGTAGTATGAGAGCACGGAATTATATTTCAGGACAGTGGGGAAAATTGGGACTATAAGAAGCCCTAGGTATCTTTTACACAACCAAACCTTGAGAAGATCTCTGGAAAGCACCATACTATCCAACTTCAATGGTATAACATGACAAATTTCAAAAAAAAAGTGTGTATTGTACAGTCTCAGGTACCTTAAACCTGATATATATGGTAATATTTTATACCTAATTGTATGACTCTTTTGCTGAGCATTTTCCCCATGCAAACCTTTGGAGAACTTTGTCAATGTATAATGGTTTGCTGACATTTTAAACAAGTTATTTCCTTTGTCAATGCTCACACATTTTCCTAATAAGCTAGTTTTTTATAAATAAATTTTGTTGTGTATATTTAAGGGATACAACCTGATGTTATGGAATATACATATATGTGTGTGTGTGTATATATATATATATAGAGAGAGAGAGAGAGAGAGTAAAATGTTAATGGGTGAAGCAAATTAACATATCCATCATCCCCCATAGTTACCTTTATTTTTATTGTAAGAGTAGCTAAAATCTACTCATTTAGCAGGAATCCCAAATATAGTACAATTTATTATCAATAGTCCTCATGTTGTACATTAGACCTAATAAGCTATTTTAATAAAGTCTATATGCTCTGACTATAATATGTCAAGGGTACATGGTGACTGTTGGTCTTTAGTTCTCTCAATGAGTATGTATTGGAAATCAATCATAGTAGATCATTGGAAATGCTGGATTGGCAATTAGAAGGAATGTATTTAATCATCGGTCAGCCACTTAATTTTCCTGAAGACCAGGATTCTCATCCATCAACTGGTTAATATAATATTGCTCATTATACTTCTGAGGGTAATTGCTAGGCTCAGCTGAGGATAATCTATATGAAAGTAGTTTGAATATCATGAAACCATTGATATTATTTTAATGGAACTAGGATAGAGATATAGCAAATTTTCTTTACCCATGTGTAAATGTTTCCTCATTCCACACAGCTGAGATTTGGAGGGATTCAGTTTAACCTATTACATATTGCCAGTACCCTGGAAATAATGGCTTAAAGGTAATTTGTACACAAAATGTTGACTCAATTGATATTGCATTGAAAAGAATCTTAAAACTACCGACTACTTCTGAAATATCAGTATAACTGAAAGGCTTCATCTGTGGCCTAAATAGGTACTACCATTCCTTCTATAGAACCCATGGTAATAATTATTAATCAATCATAACATATGTTCTCGACAAGACCAAATACAACCTCAGAATCCTTCTAAACACAATGGCTTAGGCAGCCATTACCAAATCACTGTAGTAGGCACAAAGTTCAAATTCTATAAACAAACTCTGAGACAGAGTAAGTTAATATAAAGACGCTAGAATTTTGTTTTCAAGAGATAATAAGGGAAAGTTGCATCCACAGGGAAAACTAACAAGCCATCAGGTAATGTCTAGGGGCCCCTTGCAAACATCATTCATGTTTTGATAGTAATGGAGAAGGAATGCTATTAGAGTACATTAATACAGTTAATAAATCTCATTTAATGACCAAAATTATTCTCAATTGGAGCAATTTAATACGGAGTAAGAAGTCTTACCTATGTTATTGACAACATCTTTAATTTACTTCTGAATATGATAATATAATGCATTTCTTATAATGAATTTCCTGTGTCTCAAAGAAAAAGTCTCAATTATATTTAATGTGTTCTACTTAAGCAGATATGGAGAACTATTTTCTATTTCAGGATGCTTTATGTCATGACTCCATATATAATGGCATTTAAAGTTCGCCATCCAAAGCTTATGTTCTGAGGGACAGTGCCTTAGATAAAATGCACTGATGTCAATGTCCCTGTGCTTACTTTTGTAGATTGACTGTGGCGAGTTCCGTGACCCCAAAGTCTACTGCACTCGGGAATCTAACCCCCACTGCGGCTCTGATGGGCAGACATATGGCAATAAATGTGCCTTCTGCAAGGCGGCGGTGTAAGTATCATACTCACCAAACCTGTCCCTGGCAAACACAAGCTTTCTGAGTAAGACTGATATGCATTCCTTGAGGTATTCTAGAAATACTTTCCCATACTTCCTCATGGAGGCTGAAGAAATAAGCTTCAGGCAAATAGACTGAAAACAAATGGGTTAAAGCAACAAAAAATTTACATAATAAATTATTTGAAAACATAATAGCTTTCTTTTGTTATTATTAATTTTGATTTATCTTAGCATATCAAAAATGTATACATCATATACATAATAAAACTTTATTGTTATCTTTAATAATTTCAGTAAATTTTCTTTTTTCATTTATTTCTAATTAAAAATTTCAATAGCAATATATAATGGACACATGTTTACATTTATATAAAACATGTCTGACTAATTAATACCAAACTTTTCTCAGGAGAAGGTCAGTGGGATAAGATAAGATGTGAATTAATGGATGCATATTACTGACAGGGCCCGAATGTGGGGCCTGCTATAAAATGCCAAATGCCTGAATATTTCGTTTAACTTCTAACATCTTCTGTCAGGGTAGAGCTACAACACTGTAGTCTTTGCCATTATTTCTCCTGTCACTTTTACTTTTTCCAACTGCATATATATTTACTCTGGGAGAATGAGCTATTGATACCAAAAGATAAAAGGCTTATCAAAACTTTGAGATTTATTTAAGATTCATGCTGTGTCCACAGTTAGGCCAGATGTCACCTCTGAGTGCATTTAATTAACCTCTGCTAAATCATAGGCGTGGATATCTATAGAATCAAATGATTTGACAGACCATGACATAGATAAATCTGTTTCCAACCACTGGGGTGAGTACTTATGATATTGCCCTGAGCATGTATTTGTCTTTCTTTTTTATAGGAAAAGTGGTGGAAAGATTAACCTAAAGCATCCTGGAAAATGCTGAACGAGAGCCAGTGTTTTGTGCTGGCTCACTGGCTCCCTCATCCTTCCTTTGTTGTTTCTGCTTATACTTCTCTCTAGCGGATCCCTTGAGTGCGTAACGACACACCTTCTTCTCTGCCTGGGTCTTGAGGAGTTTAATGTGTATCTTCCTTTGATTCACTGTTAATAAAGTAACTTCTGCAGAACATCGATTGTGTTTTTACTCTGAGATCAAGAAAACATACAGATACAAGGTGGAATAATTGACCTGACATAAACTTGGATCAAGAAACCTGGTTTCCTGATCTGAATCAACCATCCAGTCACCATGGAATCTTAGGGAAAGTCCTTCTTTTCTCCTATTCTTGGAATCTCCATGTGGAGAATGAAGGATTTTGACAACATAACCATATGTTATGTTTACAGTTATTTAAAAATATCTGTTATTTAAGCATTAGATTGCATTGGTTCTTCTTATTTCAGGAAAGGTATATTGTATTAAAGTAAAACATTCATACTCTGGTTTCTCTTCAAAATAAATAAGTATTTTGCCTTTTACTAAAAAAAAAAAAATAAAGTAAAATATTCATCTTGTATGGACCATAGTTTTCTCATCTACCTGGAATTGTAAATTTGGACTGTATAATACCTAAGGACATACAAAATTTGGCTTCTCAGTAACATCATAGGATCTATGAGATGGAAAGAAGTAAATTAATATTCAATAAATGGTAACTATTCAATAAATAGCAAATAGATACAAAATTTCTAAAAGCATATACATTAAAGAATGTAGTCAATTTTGAGCTTGATCTTGGAATGAGAGAACTGGATGAAACATTAGAAATCCTAAGGTCTAGAGAAAGTTTAATTAGTTACTTTCTGAAGAAAACAGCTTTAGGTAAGAGAAGACTGAGGTTATTTATTTATTTTTTATTTCAGCATATTACAGGGGTACAATTGTTTAGGTTACATATATTGCCTTTGTCCCACCTGAGTCAGAGCTTCAAGCATGTCCATCCCCAAAGCACAGTTCTGTAGATAATAATCTCAGAGTCTCCATGGCTCGATCCTACAAAGATACATAGTTGGATATATAAATATCTCATTCTGAACAATCCAAATGGAAGTCTTGGAAACTCTTCCTTTGAGTACTTTCACATAGTAGAGCATGCTTTTACAAATAACATCTTCATGGGGAAACTCAGACAAAAGACATCTTCAGATGCAATGTAGTAACCATTGTTCCAGTAACAAACATTTACCAGGTGCCTACTCTGCAGTAGACTCTATTCTGGGAGCCTGGGATACAGCTGTGGGTGGGGATAAAAAGGGCCAGTGATCCTTCAATACTTAACGAAACTTACATTCCAGCAAAAAGACATAGACTAAAACAATTCATATAGTAAATAAGTAAATGTTATAATAAGGTAGAAGGGGATAAAGGTTATAAGAAAAGATTAAGCATAATACACTAATGTGGATGAGGAATGCTTAGGGAGGGAAGGTGGTCAATTGCAGCATGAAATCAGGTGGTTAGAGTAGTTCTTATTGGGAAGACCTGGAGATGAGGGACTTGGTTAAGCAAATATCTTGGAGAAGAGCAAAGGGAGAAGCAAAAGCATAGTCCTCGAGGCTGTGGAGCATGCCTGGTTTGTTCAAGGTTCAGCGAGGAGGTGACTAAGGAGGACTGAGCAAGTGGGCAAATAACAAAGCCAGAGAGGTGAGCCCAAATCATGAAAGACTTTGTAGTTATTGTTAAGATTTTGGCTTTTACCATAATGCATAAAATGTGTTTCTAACCATAAATATTAAGATTATATTTCCGATTTAAAAATCTCAAATATATTTTATGTACATAGATGTTACCCTTTATGCATATAATTGAATAGGACCAAGCCAGACTGAAAGATGCTTCCACTATCTAGGTAAAGAGCCAGGAAGTAGATTAGGTTCTGCTAGGGAAAATATACTAGTATGCTCTTCTATGCTTAAAGAATATTCCCCTTGATGGATAAAAATGAGCACATAATATAGAATTTGGGTACATCAATGATGAGAGGGTGGGTCTTCAAGGACCAGAACATGAGTCATGGCTCTAACATGAGCTGTACAACTTTGAACAATTCATTTTGACTTCTTTGTATCATTATTTCTTCATATGAAAAATAGGGATAATAGTATCTACCTCCTCATTTTATGGTGAAGATTAAGGACATGGTATATGTAAAGCACTTAAACAAGTCTCTGATACATGATGAGAGCTAAAAAAGTCAGCAGCATTTATTATGCTCCATCATCAATTTCAGCACTATCCTGTCTTCACTGATCAGGGTATTTTTGTTCTATTTCTCGGCATATAAAAATAGTGCCCCCCCGCCAAGCACAGTTTTAAAAATGTCTATCTTCTTTTTATTTACCTTTTCTGGAAATCCTCACCTCAACTGCTTTATTCCTCTGTCCTCTTCGTGTCTGCAGAGTAGATTCCCTGCTCATTAGGGAAATTAAACCCTTTTCTCTCCTTGAGTTTCTATTCTGGGAAAGAATTTAGCTACTTCTAATGCAAACATGTAGAACGTTATGTGTAGTTTAATAACAGAATCACTGTGCATCTTTGAAAATATTTCTTTCTTCTCTCTCCTGTCGGGTCCCTCCCCTCCAGCCAGGCCATATTCCTGTCAGCTGTCCCCAGCACAAAATGTTCATTTTTACCACTTTGTGCTTTTCTGCCTAACGGCCTCTTGTGCCATCTTTTGCTGCACCGCCTAACCCTTCCTCCTTCACACAAATATCTTATCTGCATCTTAATTCTATCATTTATTTCAAGGCTTATTTCAGCGGCCATATCTGAAAATTGCTGTAATACCATCTCTTGTCTAGTTCTGGGCTCTTCTTAGAGAGTTAAATGAAAACGATTTAAAAATAAACCACAGAAGACCAGAAGTCTTACATTTTTTAGAAGGGACAAGTTACATACAACCCTCCCCCGAAACCAAGCCACAATATAAGGATTTGGGTTCCAGACATGTACATATTTGTCAAACCTCAGCAAATACATAATATTTGTGTCTATCATAGTTTGCAAATTTTCCATCAAAAGAAGAGAGACAACATTAAGTGAAGTCTTAACTATGATATGCATAGTAAAGTTTTATTAATAGAAAGAAGGGTATTGATGTCTGCAACTTACTATGAATTGCAATTACATCAAAGATGGATTAAAAGATAGATAGATGGATATATATGTGACAATATATATGCAGAATTTTAAAATAAATAGAAACAGTAGAATGATGGTTACTAGAGCTGGGGATGGGAATTGGGAAATGTAGGTTAAAGGGTACAAATTTGTAGTTAGGTAGGATGAATAAGTCTAGAGATGTAATGCATAGTGTAGTGTACAGCATAGGACTACAGTTGATAATTTTTTATTGTATACTGAAAATTTGCTAAGAGAATAGATTTTAGGTGCTCTTACACACATGGTAACTATGAAAGATGATAAATATGTAAATTTGTTTGAATACAGCAATCAATTCACTATGCATGTGTGTATATACATGAACATATTGTACATTTTACAAACATATATATACACAATAAAATAAATTCAAAAAATAAGTGTGGTGAAATATTAATGGTGCAATCCAGGTTTACAGATGTTCACTGTAAAATTATTTTAACATTGCTATATGTTTGAAAACTTTTTATTAGAAATGTTTTTAAAAATGGTAAAACATACATAGGCTCTGCCAAAGGGGTCAGGTGTTCACAATTCTGTTTATGTCCCTCGTTATTGTGGTTTCCAGGACAGAACACACTGTTTCAAGTATGATTTGTACTCCTTGCTCCAAAGCGTAAAAAGATTATTTATTTGATCTGAACACCCATATCGGTCATTATATCTTCAGAAGACAATGGAAACATAGTTCAAACTGGGTCATACCAAATTTGTAACATTAACTGTCTGTCCTCAGGCATTTTTATTCTCCCATTCCCATTGTTATTAAATTTTCAGTATATAACACAAAATTATCAACTATAGTCCTAATACTGTACAGTGCACAATGCATTATATCTCTTAGACTTATTCAACCATCCTTATTATATCTTTCTTAGCTTTTCTCCTCTTACTGGGTTTTGAAGGTAAATTCGTGAAAAAAATGATACAGCATGTCAGTAATTAGGCTTGAGTGAAGGGGGGTTGCTATCTGTCTATGACAATGTGAAGGCTTCTTGAAGTGAAATACACACACACACACACACACACACACACACTAAAGTAAAAAAGAATATAACATGAAAAAAGGCTAGAGAAAAAAGTTACTAAGACTGAAATAGCTCATTACCAATAATGTCAACTAACCTATTTACTGAGTATAGCACACATATATTATCACATTTAAATTTAGCAATAGCTATGAAGTTGTAGCCCCATTTTATAAACGAGTAGCCTAAAGTATAGAGATTTAAATGATGTGTCCATAATCATACAGTCAGTGAGCTGTAGAGTCTGAATTTAAACTTGGGATAGTTAACATTAATCCCATATTCCTAACTGATAAAGTACATAATCATAGTAACTTGAGAGACTTGCATGTAAATGTTGAATTGGAGGGACTAGTTATGTATTGAGGACATTAGAAATAGAGGTACTCATAATTCCACAAAGCCTCAAGCAACTATGTAAAGAGGGTGACATGTACTGCCATCATTTCCAATATGTACATTAGAATGTAAATTTTGTGATGGGGCTACAGTTTAGCCTGAGAAAACCAGGGTTCAAATGGGCTAACTCTGAACAAGGCATCTAGTGAACTGCTTCTTTGTCTTTTTCTGACTTTCTTTTTTCTTCCAGAGCTGTGCCTTTTCAAAATGTTGGTTCGTCTCATTTCTGCAGTTTGAGTAAAGGGAAAAGTAAATAGAAGAGATTTCCCCTGCTTTAGTTTGAAAAGATTCAGATCTAATAAGAAAAGAGTGCCCTTGGATGGCCCAGTTTAGCTCACTACAATGGCGCTTACACTTCGATAAGATGAGTATACTAAAAGAATGCAAATAATAAAGCACAGTTACATGTCTGTTGGGAATCAC